GTATATGTATATGTATATGTATATGTATATGTATATGTATATGTATATGTATATGTATATGTATATGTATATGTATGTATATATATATATATGTATGTATTTGTGTGTATGTCTGTATGTGTGTGTGTGTCTATGTGTGTCTGTGCATATGTGTGTATGCGTGTCTTTGTGTCTGTGCGTATGTGTGTATGTTGTATGTGTATAAGTATATGTATATGTGTGTGTATGTATGTATGTATGTGTGTATGTGTGCATGTGTATATGTATATGTATGTGTGTGTGTGCAACAGTCAACGTCTTCAGACGTGCAAACCTCACTATTTGCTTGTGTTGCTTCGTATCTGCTCCATCGTCCATGAATCCTTGATTTACGGACTACAGACAGTGAACAAACGGCTGCGCTCTTGCTTTACAGCCTTCTGTGCATATTCACCACTGTCATGAGTGAAACCTACCTTCCCTGTATGTATGTGTACGGCATACTGCTTGCATGCGTATACATATGTAAGTACGTATGTATGTACGCACGCATCTCTCTGATGCGATGTGATGGGACGTGATGCATGCATGCATGCTTTTACGGACGGACGGACGGACGGGCAGGCGGATGGACGGGTGGATGGGGGATGGATGGATTCGATGGAGGATGTAAGTGTTTAGCTCTTGAGACCATGCTCTTGCTTCGTCTCCTTCCCTACAGTCCCTATATATGTATACTACGGTATGCCGCTATACCCACAACCCTAGTCTACTGTACTTGTTGCCGGTTGCACGGCTATAGGGCTGAGGCTGTGAGGAATCCAAGGTCTGGCTTGGGTTGATTACTCAAATTTGGGCCACAGGGTTTAGGAAGGGCAAGTGAATGTATACTGCCGAACCCTAAACCCTCAACCCTAAACCCTAAACCCTAAACCTTAACCGCACAGATCCTATCCATGTACGGCTTCTCCAGCTGGGGCTTAGTGCCAAGAGTTTAGAGCTTCGGGAATTGCGGCGTGGGGCGTTCCAGGCCGTAGGGCTCCTCTTGGTGATGTTTTCAAATCTTTTGTCAGGGTCTTTGAAGGCATTTCAGAGTTTAGGGTTTAGATTAGAGTTGTAGGGTTTTCCGGTGTTACGGAAGGCAAGTCCAAACCGCACCATGAACATCGCGAACTTCTACACTAATGCCCACCATAAATGACATCCCGGAAAACAAAACATAAGGGACGTTCGTTATCGGTGGTACGGTGTGGGCGTTGCGCAAGAGAAGCGAAAAAGAACCCGAAACCCCGCATCCAAGATCCTCCAAAACTCTGAGTTTCACAAGAAGAACTCTACACCCAAGATCCTTCAACAAGACTCGCAAGAACGTAAAAATGAGCTTGAACATGCCCCCTAGCGGACTGAACGCTTGTATGAAGACTCGTAAGAACCTAAAGGAGCTTCTAAACCAAAAAACGCCTAGGAACCCAACAAGAAACCTGTTTGGGAAGATTCCCCTAAACCCTGGGCTCAGGTCTAGCCAGAGCCTAAGCCCAATTCCCCTAAGCTCTAAACTTAAACCGATTCCATACGGAAGGTGCCTGGCCGCCCGAGCAGCTCCACATGGAAGCCATCCGCCTTTCAGCAAACTTGGACTTTAGAGTTGCTTTGGCCTTGACGGTTTGGGTAGGGATTTCTTCTTCGGCCGTCACAAGTGACGGTGGCAGACAGAAGCATGAAAGCATGGGAACATGCGAAATTGGTTAGGCCAGGATCTCAAGCGAACGAGGGAAATCTTGCCGTTCCCACACGGTCGTATCAGCCAGCCGCCTGGCCAGCCACCGCAATCCATGTTTGTGCGCCGGGTGCACCGTGAGGCCCATGCTGCTGGACAGGAGACCGGCCGTCCCGAAGAAGCGACCTCCCCATAACACCCTAAACCCTAAACCCTAAACCCTAAACCCTAAACCCTAAACCCTAACAGTGGAGCACACTTGCCAGGAGTACTGGCGACTCCCCAAAGCTGGGCACTGAAGAGCGCGACTCTCTTGATGGCTTCCTTCGGCGCTTGGCCATGAGGTAATCACCAGGACCGAAACCCTAAACCCTAAAACCCTAAACCCTAAACCCTACCTAGAGTAGCCTTTGTACCTAAAAATTTGGGGTCATTCGAAAGAAACGGTTTTTAGCCGTCCGTGTGCGTTTTTTGAGGTTTGTACTGTTTTCTGGGTTTTCAGGTATTATCCTGAGGGAGTACAGGTATTCGACCCATAGCTGCTGGCTCGGGGGGATCCTCCTGACCGTGGACCAGACCAGGCTGGGTGCCTGCTGATTTCGTTCGGATATGTGGCTTTTGTCTGTTGTGCTGCAAGCACATCTTTGAAGCCGTTCTTGATTCAAGTGATTTGTGCTGGGGTCTGAGACTTGGTAGCTACCTTGTACGATGGAAGCGCTGCGCACATCATGCCCCGACTTGGCTCGGGATTTGAGCGAACGTGGCCGCTAGTCTATAGAACTTTAGGGTTGTATTTGGGGTTGTTTATTGTTTGATATGAGATCCGCTTGCTCTCTGAAAAATCCAGAGGTTTGTCCGACTTGCCGGATGACTTCTGGACCGCCGTGCTCGAGGTCTTCCACAATGCAGCACATTGAATCAAGATAAGCACCCCTTTCTCCCCATATCCCCGCATCCACGCTGTCTCGGCCACGGGTTGCTCAGGTCACCGCACCAACTCCTGACAACGTCCGCATGCTCATCCAGAACTACGACTCCAATGGGCTGATGTTGCATCTTGTGCGGGCACACCAAGGATTGGTATAGCTACATGTACACTAGGGGGCACAGAACATGTAGTCATATGTTCCCTGGAGGAGGTGCGGAGATCTTGCACACGGCTTGGGGCCTACGTTCGTAGAAGTGACATCCACGAGACGTGTTTCCACTGGCCCAGCACAGCCCAGACCAGGTCAGCAGCTCCTCCATCAGCTGCTCTCCCGCCGAGTCTCCTGAGAAGGACATGAAGTCTGAGCAAGAGAATCCACGGGAGTAGGGTGCTGGACTCCGAACAGAGTGATTGCGATATTACACAGTCGTTAAGATAAGGGTCAGGATCCCGAAGCATTTCGAATGGAGCCCGCAGCCTTGCACATCGCAAGATGAAGATGAAGAGTGCATCATGCAGCCTTTAAAAGACCCTGCGTATCTTTGCATCACGTATTCATGGCTTGATGGTGTTTCTAGTCTGCAGCCTGCTAGTCAGTCCCTCGCCCTGACTGTGATAGCCTCCGATCCTTGGTCAGGTCTGATGCTCGATGGCCCGACTTCGTAGAAGCTGAACTTCACGCCATGGTGAAACTCTCAGTTTGCAATGGTATTGCTTGTTTCATTCAGTGTTCTGTTGGTCTCTTGAGAAACCTCTATCTCTGCAGCTTTTGTGTTTTCGAGTGCTTTCCCATCCCAGAGCCATTGAGCACCGGTCATGCCGAAAAACACGATCTTGGAGGGATTGGCTGTCGTTTGGGAAGATGCGGGCAGCGTCAGACGTGGAGCCCGCGAGTCGGGCCACTTGGTTCATTGGCCATCCCCGGAAACCGTCGGTATCCCTAGTATGCGCCACGTCTGCAGAAATCGACATCCTTTGGCTTGCACACTGTCATAAGCCAATCTACTAGCATGTTGTGTGCCTGAGGAAAGCTCTCGTGCTCAACACCAATGCCTTGTCCATATTGGCCAGGATGTGGGTGCAAAGGTATGACTACGAGGCCACACAAAAGGCTAAGACACCACCGTTGCATGCCATCCACGAGCAGGCAACTCGAATCATCTAGCGAATGCATCGCTACTAAACATCATCGCCCTTGCTTGTTTACTGAGGTCAAGAAGTTCTGGGCTCTGATTGGTGGCAACCAAGACGGTGTACAGCCTACGGCTGTGCAGATTCATGCTGAAGCATGGGGCTTCAGAAAGCTCGTTTCCTACTGCATCCGTCGTGTTTGCATGGGACATTGTGCCAGAGCAACTCGATGTCGTTCACATGTATCATGTGCCCAGTATCCTGCCCCCAACCTCTTTACCCGTGAACATGTGCAGCCAAGGATCCAGCAGTTCGCGAGATTTTCCATGTGTTCATCGCAGGTTGGTTCCCCGAGGCGCTCGAGCAATGGGAGAACGACCATCGTAGTGAGGACCTGGGCGAGTCCGACCATATGTCGGACGATCCCGACGTGGGCCCCGATGCTACGCATGTGAAAGTAGAGGAGGACATTATAAGTGTGCCAATGCTATGTTCAAACCGCTTGCTAAACTTTCGAAACGCATGTGAATCTTCGTGTGAGGACGACTCCGATGAGCGCAACAGTGTTTCTCTCGAGATTGACCTTTGGTCTCGGGATGAAGAGGATCATGCCGAGCCTGTCGGGCCTTCTACGTCTATGGATGAAGAGGAAGCTGCCACAGAGCCTGTCGGGCTTCCACACACTTCTACGTCTGGGGGTGAAAAGGAAGCTGCCACAGAGCCTGTCGGGCCTCCACCCACTTCTACGGGCGGTGCTGTGGACCCTAGCATGATGGACACGTTAGTCAACACGCCTTCACCGTCTCCGCCGCAAAAAGCGTTGGTCCCACCCAGCCCACATGAAGTCGACTTCGATCTGGATGCTCAGATTCTCGAAATGGAGCCCCTTGACTAATTTTATAGTGAGGGCGACGGGTTCTGCATGATTAACAAGCATCATACATCACACGTGTATATATATATATATATATACAATACTTCAGGCTCGGTGCTTTGTATAAACCAAGGCGACAAATTGCAGCACGGAAGGCAGCGCGTTCGACGGCTGCAGCTGTCACTGGGTCTTGCAGTAGCACGGTCATGCAAGCTGCTGATAGCTGCTGTCAAGAAGCTTTCAGTCCAGACATGTGCAACCAGCAGAGGCCGCCCAGACGATGAGGATGCAGGAGCCTGCCCAGGCAGCCGGTGCATTTTCTGAGTCCTGCTTAAGTCCTTGTTCAACCGCACGCACACCCGAATGCCTAGGTGCGGCCTCCTGCCCTTATGCTGCGGCAGAATGCCAAGGAGTGTTTGCAAGAGCTTCCCGACACTGTGCAGAACCAGGTTGTTGCACGCGTGGACATTTCGGATGAGAGTGGAGATGAGAAGGGCCAGGCTGCGGTTCCGGCGCCAGCCAATAGGGATGACAAGTGCTCGACTGAGCTTCCGAAGGCAGAGCCTGCGGATGAGGTTGCCGGGGATGCTCCGTTCCTGACCAGGAAGGAGCAAATCGCAGCCATTGAAGCCGAAAAGGAGAAGGACGACAGTCACCGGGGACCCAAGGCTCCAAAAGGGGGTCGCGGCCGGGGTGGCCGTGGCCGGGGTCGCCGTGGCCGAGGTGGCCGCGGCAGCAAGAAAGCTGTTGCTGATGATGGTGAGGTTGAGGATGACCACTCAGAGCCAGCAGCGAAGCCACCCAACACCAAGCCAGCGAAAGCAGCAACCGCAGCGAAGGCGAACACGGCGACAGCGAAAGCGAAAACGGCGCCGAAAGCGAAGGCCAAGGCAAAGGCTAAGTCGGTACCCAAAGCCAAGGCAAAGGGAACGGCGAAGTCCAAGGCGGCTGCAAAGAAGCGTGCTCTATCTAGCAACGAGGACAAACCGATGCCGGTACTCAAGCGCCCAGCAGCACGATGCCCCGTCCGCAACGACTTTGAGCACGGCTACCTGGACGTGTACTGGACCCGGCCCGCCTGTGGATTGAAGCTGCGCACGACCGGCAAATCTGCCTGGGCTTCAGTCTTCAAACTTGAAACCTATCGAAACCCATATTGATATGTGTATATAGCACAAAGCTAGGTGCTTTTCCACTTGCACACGATCAGGTGTTCTACCTTGCCCAACGTGGAGCTACCATGGCACAGATCCTTCCAGCGGTATACCCTGTTGTGACTTGCCTACCAACTATTGGAACTTGTGTTTGATTCAACTAGTCTCGGGCAGCACTGTGGTCAGTAGCATCTGGCAGCCAAGGCCCAGATCCTGGATGAGGTGGCAGGCGATTGCAGTCATGAGCGGTTCACGGCTGCATCGGAAGAGGCCAAGATGAGCCTCCAGACCATCATGGAGCATGCTGAGTGAAGCCGGAGCACAAAGTTTATCGTCGATGCTAAGGCATTGATCTTCAAATTTTGAACCAGCGCGGTTCTTTAGGGGTGAGCTGCCTGCTTCTGGGCGTTTCGGGGTATCCTGAAATGAGCGAGAAAAAATCAATCTGCTTCAGACTGCAACACAAGCCTATGTTCGTTGCTCCCTTTCCCTCTCCCTTTTTCTGTCTGCAACATGAACCCCAGGCCCTACGTGCGGGGCTGGGCTTCTACGCCAGACATGGCCTGTTGGTGGACAACAACCTCGGGCCACGTCTCTCCAACATGTCTTGCAAGCAGGGCAGGGCATCGGCTGTCTGATGCATATCAGCCAATCATGTCTGCGTGCATGCACACGGCTGAGTCATGCATTGCACTCCTGTGCAGCATCTGTGCAATCAAGGTGCCTTGGTTAATGCATGCAGAGCCCTTTCTGGCTCACGTTAATGTACGGCTGCAGGGCTTTGGAACTATATACGAAGAGCTGAAGGTGTGTGTGCAAGGTTCTATATGTTGTATATATGTTATACATGTGTACACTGTGTATGCATATATGCATATGTAGTTTTCTATGTGTGTGTAATTATGTACATATCCATGTTGTACGTATATATGTATGTGTATACGAGGATACTTTCATTCTAGTTAGCCAGTTCATAGGTCCCCGTATACAAGTATATGTGTATATATATATATATATATGTACACGTGCTAGGTACATTGGAGTCTGTGCACATACTGCATGCAAGCAATCGGATGCAATGGACGTACCGCCCCACCTCGAAATCGTCATTCGGAGGATGTTCGCATTGCAGTGCCCGAAGGTGTTCTGCTGCCAGACCGTGCGTTTAGGGCAGGGGCTGAAATTTCACCCCAGCAAACCCCCAATTTCTTGCATCGCAGAAGTAATATTTCGGATTGATAATAACCCGGTGCCCTGAATCCTAAACCCTTTCAGCCCATGCACCCCTAATCCGATCCAGGTGCTGATCACGGCAGTCTTGCTTTTGGGATGGAGCCACAACCTGCCTGAGAAGTACGATGTCGTCGAGTATTTCGCCGGGAAGGCCAGGATCGCGAAGGCAGCCCGGAAAGCCGGCCTGAATGCTGCGGCTCTCGATATCCTATACCCTATACCACGAAAACCAGAGAGTCTTCGATATGACATCCGCAGCAGGGTTTGGGTTTCACGGCTGGCCTTGGTTTGTTCGGGTGCACATGTGTCTCTGTGCGTGTGTGTGTGTGTGTGTGTGTGTGTGTGCTTGTGTTTGACTGCAACTCTAGTTGTGTAGGTTCGCTTCTGTGTGTATTTCAGTTCATATGTAAGAGAGAGAGAGAGAGAGAGAGAGTGTGTGTGTGTGTGGGTGTGTGTGTTTGTTTTCTCAAGCAATTTAAAAGCACAGGTGTGTGTGAGAGAGAGAGAGTGAGTGAGTGTGTGTATGGGTGAACATGTGCTCCTGCTCTACAAGAACTGATGTATCTTAGGTTGGCATTGATGGCGGCTTTACAGGGCAAGTATGGCCTGGTGCTGTGCATGCTTGGGGTTTGCTGCTCCTCATGGGTATCAATCTCACGAGGAGCTACCTATAGGAGCTTTCTGAATCCGATGGGCTATACGGGCCATCGTAGTGTGCGAGTGGCCAATCTCATCAGCTGCAGGACCGTCCCATGCGAAATTGTCAGCATTGTTGTGATTCAAGCCAAGCCATGGAGAGAGAGAGAGAGAGAGAGAGAGAGAAAGAGAGAGAGAGAGAGAGAGAGAGAGATACATATATATACACATAATATCTATATATATATATAATCTGATTCTGTTGGAACGAAAACGAGCACAAAGACACAGCGGGCAAGTGTGACTATGCTGGAATCTGGAACGAGCACGAACCCAAAACGCCCAAGAAACAAGTGTGCTTTTTGTTGTGACGAAAAAAAGCCGAAAGAGCCCAAAGAGCAATTGTGATTATGTTGGAAAAGGAAGATAGAGATAGAGGGCACAGAGGTATATAAATTGGGAAATTACATATATATATAGATAGAGAGAGA